CCGAAATAAGCTGAAATATCTTGTTCATTGGCACGGATATGATATTAGTGAACGCACATGGGAGCCATCCAGGAACCTAGCAAATGCATCAACTAAAGTCAAAGTTTTTCATCAACGACATCCATCAAAACCAAGATGAAAACCTCTCTTATAAAAGAGACAAAATTGAGGCAAGATAACATTCAATTTCCTATCCTTGTTTGTAACTTCTTTGCATTTGTGATGCTAATTAGATAGAGAGCCAACAACCAGCGGATTCAACTCAAGAACCTTCGTTTGCTGACCTGCCCGACGAGACATTACGATTGTCACAACCTTCAAGACGACGTAATCGAGATGAAGATCTTCAAGAACGACATGTTCTTCTTCGAATAGATGGTGAGATACAACGCGTTTGGTATCACGATTTGGGAAGGGACTCCCGATGTTTGGTGATTTTGCTAGAAGTAGGAACAACTCTTAATGGTGTTCCAAATATTCTATTCGAAGGAAGTTACGAAGGCCTCAACAATGATCAAATAACTGGGTGGTCTTCTCGCCCTGGTATGGGACACTACCGATGGTTGAGAGGCCCTATCAATCATCTTCGAAGAGAACAGAGATCAGAGTATGTGGCGAATACAATTCGTTGCATCATAGATTTCCTCAACATATGATGACCGCTCCTCGTGGAACTCGTCTCTAGAAGGGGGGGTAATGTCACGGCCATAATCATGTAAGCTAATAATTACATATAGAAATAGGTAGAAGTAAGTAAAAGTAGATAAAAGTAAGTTAATTCTATAATATTTAATATAGAAGCTTCCTAGAAACTTCCTAGATGCTGCTTTGACTTCATAGGTGTCTTTAATTGACTTTTTGGATTAGAAACGTGATCAACAAGTTGGCCATGTGCCACACATATTGTTAGCTTGAAGATCAAGCTAACTATGTAGCCCACACGTAGAAAAACTTGCCTTGTAAGTCAAAGCATGTGCCCTACAAAGTCAACACCTATTGGAGGTCCTATAGAACGTCGTCACGTAGCTCTTAGTTAGATAGTATATATAGAGACAAGAGTGAAGGCTTCTTCACTCTTGTCAACTCCTTTCTTGCTTCTAGTCCAGGTTCAAGAGTCTTTAGTTTCTTGTCTTGTGGCAATAGCCATTCCAATTTCCTTTTTAATGTATCTCCTTGTTTATATTTTGACTTATTATATCGAGATAGCTTTTTTGTGTATATTTTCCCTCATCGAGTCTTTATCCTTGACACATATATGAATGAGCACATAGTATATCTATAAGTTATTTTTTTTAATAGTATGCTTTTAAAATATAAAATTCTAGATTCTTTTTGGTTTAATATAAGTTTTATAAAATACAAAAATAATAAATAGTGCAGGTTGTATTTTGATACTATCTTTTGATTTTGAAAACTATAGGAATATAATACAATCTGTATAAAAAATTAGAAATTGTAATTTTTAATAATTTAGAATTTAAAACTTACGTTGTCGTATTACGTGCTATCTTGCTTGAGAACGCACCGGTGTCTGGCTATGGAAGATAAAATGATGTTTTGCAAGTATTCTAGTAGTCTAGTATTCTAGTATTCTAGTTTTCAACCATTTAAATACAAACTATTTTGGATTTCAATATAAAAGCTTAATTCCAATACAAAGTACTTAGAAACACTATTTTTAATAACTTCAAGATATTATAAGCACAAATTCTTCTGTTATTTTTTAGTTTTATTTAATGTAATTTTTATTATTATTATTATTATTATTATTATATTTTTTATTTTTATTTTTATTTTTTTTAATTTTTAAACACTAACCCTAGACAACAAGCTTTGGCAAGCTGTAATTCTCAATCTGACCATCCAATTATTGTAAAACTTCTATCGCTATTGTTTTTACAAGTCTTCTAAATGCTCAAGAAGTTTCAATCCAATCTAACTTACAGATTGCAAGAAAACGTTGTAAATCCACACTGATGTCCCTTGACTGTCGCCTAAAAAGTTGATGATGAACCTTGACTTGCAATTTCTCCTTTTCTAACCATTAATTCTCATTCAAACCTTGTGTGTAGCTTTGCCTTTAAGTCCTCAACTTACTATGTCAAAATTCACCTTATTCAAGCTGATCAATCTTCAGATATTACAAAAACTCTAAATGACCCCAATATGTCGACTTCTGATACCTCTTTACACTAATGATCAAATATCCTCTATCTATACAGTTAGATTAACACAAATTTTTGCAAGCACTTGGCATACTCAACCATCTAGACACCTCTAAAATTTCAACCGTAGATGTTTCTTTAATTTCACAAAATAGTCAAGAGTACTAGCCTTAATTTTATTGCAAAAAAACCCAATTCACCAATACAAACACTGACTTTGAGCAATGATTGCAAAATCTTCCCAAACCCTATAAAACTAAATCTTACACCTTTCGAAGGAGCTTGAAGCTAGCTCTTCGACCCTAAAAATCCCGATCTCCGAATGCCCTCTTCCTTTTTCTTTCTTTTCCTTTAACTCCGTGAGGTCCCCTATTCTTCCACCCTAGACTCGGAATTGAAACAACAGACCGTGCTTCCATGGAATTCCTACTTCTAAGAGGATCTTTCCACGAAAAGGACGTTTCTCCCAAAATGGCATAGAGAATGGAACAGCTTGAAATGGAACCGAAGCCTCTGTATTCGGAACCTCATTGGATTGCCCAACCAAGTCAGGTCTCATACTGGGTAAGAGGCCTGTAACATGACCTGGATTGGATGTTTCTATAATTGGGTCAAATTGGCCCTTCACATCAGACTCACCGGAATGTTGAATTGGTCCTTTCTCCTTTTGCCAACTCTTGGTAAGAACGGCTTTGACACATTCCACCCAATTTATCGCAGAATCTTGAGGACCTCGATTTATTGCAGAAATCTGGAATTGGCCACTATTTCTAACATCCAAGATGAATAAATATTAATAAATCTTTTTCATTTATATTTTCACCATATAGTCGTATTACAACACGACAACGTATTATCAAACATTGTAATAGTATGCAATTAGAAAAGTATTTTTTAATAGTATTGCTAATTAAATATTAAATTAGAGATATTATTTGTTTATTTATCTATCTATCTATCTTAAGATCTATATATTTATTTATATGTCCATTTAACATTGATGTGCTTATTTACTTTGCAATTACTTCAAGAAGATAATTGTCCACTTCTAATTATTTTAAGTAATTTAAGATAAAACTTTGTAATCTAAATTTCAATATTATGATTAATTGGGTGTAGTCAATAGTCTTGGGTATTATTTATTTATTTATTATTATTTTGCTTTATTAAATATATTAATTTTAATTAATTTTTTTGAAATAATGGACTATGATTTTTTAAAGAAAAATTAATATTAGTTGCTTACTTAAAAAATAAATAATATATAGAAGAAAATTTTGTGATTGTTTGTTACATAGATTTTTGGTTACAATAATCTAAAAATAACAATTATTATACAAACATTTTAGGAAGAGTAAGTATAAATTGGCTTATAGAAAAATAAATTGTATCTCAACCTGTCATAGTCATATAATATAATAGTTATATATTAAATATACAATTAAATACAAAACAAATTTATTGTATAAATTCAAAAGTGGAAGGGATTTAAAATCAATACTTTTCTTTGATACAGATGAATAACTCTATAAAAACTTGTACATATTTTAATTAAAGAATAGATGAAAATATAAATGGAAATGTATTTATATTTATATATTTAACTTAACTTATTTTCTGAAAATAATTCTATTATTGAAATCCGAGTTAGCGACTGGGTATGTCTGTGGAGACTAGAGTGCCCTCGTCGTCTGCCACTCACAAGCCGCTTCAGTCGCCGTCATCGTCCTTCTTGTGTCGTAAGGGCCCACGGTTCATTTGTAATGTGCAAGGGAATTTGTCAATTGTGAGGCCCTTACATTGGTTTTTGGGTGACGAGGGTGGTGTGGTTACCGATCGGATACAACCGGTGGTGTTTGCCGCAAGAGTTCAGAATTACTGTTCGTTTAGGCGTCTCAATTGTTATATGAGTTTCAGAAGTGACATGAATCGAAACGACAACCCCATCATATGGAAGTCTCCATTCGGAATTTGACGATTTAAGTTGATGCATTGCAAGGGTTGTGGGCATAGCGTAGGGTCTGTTCAACTGACAGAAATTTTAGCTATGTGTTTTTTTATAAATTTAACCAGTATGCTGGTACTTGGCTTATTGAACAAGAGGCCTTTGTACTTTGATCCTAATCCGATCAAGGGAAGAACTCTCCAAGCATTGCACAATATTGTAAACATATAATGATGATAGTATAAGGCCTTAAGCATTTTGATCTTGGGATTTAGTCCTGTGCAGGTTGCCAGAGCGCGGTACGTCTTGTTGTGATACTGGGCAGCAGCCGCAGGAGCAGGGATTTTCAAGTCTGATGACTGTCCAATGTCAGTTGCTCGCCCCCGCTGCTCTTACGACATCCACTACGAGACAGAATATATGGAACTTCTGATGAATGACGCCCAAAAGATTGACAAGTCCTCTGATGCAGGTACTTGGGTGCAATTTTTTAGATGAGCTTTTGTGTGATTGCAAGAGTTCACTTTGTGGGCTTCATAAATTGCCACCCTCTTCTTGATCCTCCTGCTAATGCTTCCGTCATGCTTCCCTTTTACCGATTCACTCATGGGTACGTGTCCAGAGACGAGGGAAGTTGAAATCACCGGCTATCACTGTGTGCTTATTGAAGCAAGGGTAGAGAGAACTAGAAGCCATCATGAAGTGCTGCATCGGTGCCTCATACCTTGACGAAGACCACATTGCACTGCTAATTACAATGATAACAACTCTACTTCCTTCTGCGGATTCATCAGAGACTGATAAGATTGTAATCTCACGCTTACCTTTCAGTGATGATGACGAAGTTCGCTTAAGAGATGTAAATGATGAAGATAGCACCGAAGTCGAAGTTTTAGATGACATGACCAATAGCACAACCAGACAATAATTTGGATAAAAATAAAAATCTGTACAGAAATGAATCTCTTCTATCAATTTTGAGAACTTCGTTTTTGTCTTCAACGATTTTAAACTACACAGTTTCCGGAGTTTCCCAGGCTACTTAAACTTGAGCACTAAAACGAGGACTAGAATCGCAATGATGATGATGAGAAGGAGGACGCATATGATGGTCGTCCTTCTTTTGCTCATCTGATAACGTTTCGCAACTTCCAAGTGCTCGCCACCCTTCTTGATGTAGGAATACGAACGTTGGACATTTGATTCAATGTCGTTGATCATGTCCCCTTGTGCACTCACCAAGACAGAGATGTCCATAAAGATGGCGTGAAGCTCCAGCATGTGCTTCTCAATCTCTTTCACTCCATCTAGCCGCTCTTGAATCTCCCGGACAGCCTCCAGCACGGGGCCACGACCCTGCTCGCGAATCGCTTGCTGCAGGAGGGTTTCGCTCTCGCCGGTGCTTATCAGGTTCTCGATAGTTTCCTCGTCGGCTTGCTCCCCGGTGATGGTGTAGTATCTGCGCTCTATGGTCTCCTTATAGCCATCCACCATCTTCGAACGCAAAGATTGGAACGCGTCCATCAATTCCTTCACCTTCTTCCGCTGATTCTCCGTTAATGATATTCTCTGCCGGTCTGAGGCTGTCCCCGCTTCACATCCTCTCACCTGACGGTGCTCAATATTGGACCGATCCAGCTCCTCAAGCTTAACCTTGATGAACCGCGCCCTTTTTGTCGCGGACGCGATTTCCGCGTCCATTTGGGCGCGGAGAGCTTTTAATTCGTCTGCCCTGTAAACCCCTTTACTCTTCTCGTTTACATTCTGGAGGCTCACGAGCTGCTGATTCATCTTGTTCACTTCTGCTTGCACCACTTCAATATGCCTCAAAAAATCACCCATACCGTCGGTGTTGGCCTTCATGTTCGTCAACTGTACGCTGGGTGGGAAATGCTTCACACCATTCTCGAGGTCGTTCTGACGATCGTCCTCGTCATATCGAACTCCCCGGTTCAGACCCCTCGCTAGTAAGTCATTCATGGCGCCCAGACGCTTGTAGAGACCTCACCGTGATTGCGATTACTGCATGCACTGTCTCGACGTTGTCTCAACGTTGTCTCAGGCTTTCAACTGTTTCGGTTTCTACCAAAAACCCTCAACCACTCACCAAATTCACAACCCCAAAAACCCTCTCTTCTCAACAACGTCTCGTGTATCACTCAGAAAGCAAAACCATTGAACGGCTCTCTGAAACGTACTAGACTCAAAAACACAGCGCATGTTGCTTAATGAACAGATCCACGACGTCATAAAAATTTACGCGTCATCACGCGTAAATTTGAAGGAACAACTCTTTTTCGAGAGCCCTGAACGTAATCAGCTCTTTCATTACCGTGTGGCAGCAGCGAGTGAGCACCACCCTCTCGCCGTTGAATACACTTTCTTCTCACAGTGACGCGCATTCGCACGACCTCATCTCTTCTAAACAGAAGAAACAAAAAAAATAATAATAATAACAATAATAAAATAACAAAACCATAATACAAAGGAAGTATCCATCCTGCAATCATAACGTCGCAGAATCTTCCGACGCTGAATGAACAGTTACATAATACTAGTGACGACGATTCTCGCAGCATTGGGGATCGTCTACCTTGAGAAATCGGTCTGGGTCTTCGACTGAAGGGGTCCATATTCTTTTTTTCTAAAGCAGGGGGCATCGAAAGTCCAGATGGGTTGCGCATGAGCTTTGAACATCTCGAAGGTTTTCTTTCCGACAACTCCTCTTGCGTCGAAGAAACTGGCGAGGCTTTCGAATGAAGGCCCGACGAGATTCGAAGACTCTTCATCCTCTTGTTTATCATTCGAGAAACATTCATCGATTAATTTTATCATCCATATAATTGTCATCTTCTATCTTGTCATCCGTCTTGCACTTCATCCGTCTGTAGTTCTGTCCATAGAAGTTGGAAATAAAGTTCTTCATTGCTGAGTTATTACATGTGGTTAAAAAGATGTGAGGTAAATTTATGCATGATTAACTAGGTTAATGTATTTGACATATGAAGGTGCACAAAGACGTAATATTCATTAAAGATAATAATATTACTTTTATCATCTTGTGATTTTTATAATGTTTGAGATTGAAAGAAAAATATAATAAAAAAATTGGGAAAATATATTATTGCACTAATTTTCTGTGTACCAATTGATGTGTGTATAGTGTGTTCCAAATTGTTCCTAAAAATTACAGATAAATATCAGATAATCAAAAAAATTGATAGCATTTTTTTAATCCACATATTATAAGACTTGATTAACTTGAAGTTTAAGCTTTATTACTAGAAAATGTCATTAAGTTTCAAAGTATGCACATGTACTTTGGGTAATGCTATTTTTTTGGATAACTACCCATTTTTAAGCAAATTATTAATGTAGAATAATATATGACAAAATCATGAGTTGTAATACAAATAATGTAATTAATAATTTTAAGAATATTTTTTATTAGTAGTTAAAATTATGTAAATAAATATAAAAAAAGATCATACATAAATTATTTTAAGAAAAACATACACACACAATTAAAATTTTATGAATGAAATAGTAAATGATCATGAAGTATAACTATGTGAGTTTGTGGTTGTAGTTTGTATCATATATTTTAATTATTTTTAGAAGTGTAAAAAGTAAAATTTTATAAATTTTTGATAATTCTTTTTAATTCAATACATATTTATTTTAAATCCAAAAAAAATTCTTTAAATTTATCATCATACTTGTTATCAAATATTTCATTAATGCAATAAATATATATATATATATATATATATATATATATATGCAAAAACTTATTATCTAAAAATATTAAAAAAAAAATCTTAAAATATTAATTTCATAAATGAATTGTTTGATAAAATGAATGTTGGACAAATAAAAGATATTACCTAATGTAAGTTGTTAATGGTTAAACGGCAGCAAAAGGTAATAAGAAAGTTACCAAGGTGGCGGCTAGAATTTATAGTGGTGGCTAGGTTAAGTGGTGGCTAGGGTTTCGAGTGGCATCTAAGTTAAGTAGAATCTAGGATTTAATTGGATGAAGTAAGGATGAATGAGAATGAAGTTGAACCACAATAGATGTAAACTCTATCTATAAGTAAAGGGTGTTGGAAGTGAGAGGTATCTCATTCCATACTTCTCTTATGTCTAACCTTATTGATTTCTACTTACTTGTGTTTTGCTTATTGTGTTTCTTCAATAGGTTATGGGGCCACACACACTTGATTGTGTTTTTCAAGTAAATTGAAGTTATTTGCTGGTTGTTGCTCTTGTATGGAATAGATCTTATAGTATTTACTAATATTAGGATTTGTATAATCTAATCTTGTGTTATGGCTTGTGGAAAATTTGATTTGGACCTTATAGATCCCCAACATGTATTTGAAGATTTTTAATTCTTAAGATTGAGTGATTAAGACCTTATACAAAGACCTTAATAGTGTCTTTGGTGTTGTGGAATTTTTAGTGAGAAAGTGAGTTTTTTTAGTTAGAAAACTTGATGGTGAGGCTGATTAGAATCTACATACTTGTTAAAAATTTTGAAAGTTGAGTTGAGAGTGTTTGGAATGAAGAAACACTCATTTGTTCACAAGAGGGTATTTTGAGATTTTACTAGTACAAAATTATTTTGATAATTTTAAGCACATAAAGACTTCTTTTTTCATATTTTTTGATAGACCTATTCTTAGACATGGCTTCTAGTGAGAGTGAAGGTTTGAGAGTGATTGAAAAGATTAAAGGTAATAATTTCTACCATTGGAAGGTAAAAATGGAACTTTTGTTAATATCTTTGGACCTTTGGGACATTAAAGATGAAAGTGAAGAGCCTCCAAGCATGCATGTTGATGCTAAGGAGAGGAAGGACTTTGTAAGACATGAAAAGAAGGCTTTTGGCATGATTTCTACCAATTTGAATAGAGCCAACTTTTTTCACATCATCTCTTGCAAAGGACCAGTAGAAGCATGGAAGATCTTTTGTAATATATATGACAACAAGAACTTATCCAACATCATCACAAGGAGGAAATTCTTTACTTGCAAGATGGAAGAAGGTGATGACTTCATAGCTCATGTCAATAAGATAAAAGCCTTTGCTAATCAACTTGCAATTTTAGACAAGCCTTTAGAAGAAAGTGATATTGTCATGACCTTGCTTATGAACCTTTGCAAGTCCTACAACTACCTCATTGTAGCATTGGAGTCCATCAAACTAAAAGACCTCACAATGGATTATGTGATAGCAAGACTTGCTTATGAAGTGACCAAGAGGAAAGAAAAAGAACCTCAAAGTGAAGATTTGGCTCTCATTTTAAGAAAAGGCAAGGAAAATTATTCTAACCAACGTGGTAATACAAGAACTTACTTTATTTGTAAAAAATCAAGTTATTTTGCTAAAAATTGCTATAAGGTTAAGAAAAGAGATAGAGAAAGTGTAAATAATACTTGTGATGAATATGGAGGTGATGATTATGCATTCATGGCAAGTGAAGGTACTTCCATGGCCACCATGTCTAAGTAGATTATTAATTCGGGTGCCACCAAGCACATGACTCCATACAAGTATTCATTGGACACTTATGAAGAAATTTCAGCAATAAATATATTCATGGGAGACAATGGCTTAGTATAAGCTATTGGAATGGATTCCATTGTAGTAGAAATTGTTGTGAAAGGCCAAACTAAGAAGATCAAATTGAAGGACGTCTTTCATGTGCCAAAGATGGAGAAAAACCTCGTCTTGGTGAATAAACTTATTTCACATGGTTGTAAAGTGTAATTTAATGAGAATGGTTGTTTTGTGAAGATATTGGAAGGAAATAATGTTGCAAAGGGCTTTAGACATGGCAACCTCTACTTCATCAAGTATAAGATGGTAAATGGAGTTGAAGTAGCAGCATTTGCTGAATTTTCTCAAGATTAAGATAAGTTTGGCATTTGGCATCGACGCCTTGGTTATTTGAATGCTAAGAGGATGAAAGAACTCTAATCTATAGTAAGTGGCTTAGATTTTGGTCATCATATAAGCCACAATGCTATGATACTTGCTTATGAAGATTATATTCAAGGCAAACAACAAAGAGCTGTCAAGGACAAGAACTCGATGAAAGCTAAAGAGTAAGTGAGACTTTTCTCAAAAAGAAATAGGAAAAAATAGAAATATGTATATTAAGAAAGAAACTGGAATGGCTATTGCCAAAATACAAGAAAACTAGAGACCCTTGAAACTAGACTAGAAGCAAGAAAGGAGTTGACAAGAGTGAAGAGGGCTTCACTCTTGCCTCTATATATACTATCTAACTAGAAGCCACGTGGCGATGTTCTATAAGACCTCCAATATATGTTGACTTTCTAGGCCACATGCCTTTGCTTGCAAGGCAAGTTTTCTATGGATGGACCACGTAGTTAGCTTGTTCTTTAAGCTTCCAACATGCGTGGCACATGGCTAACTTGTTGACCAAGTTTCTAACCTAAAAGTCAACTATAGACTCCTATAAAGTCAAAGCAGCGTCTATGAAGCTTCTAAGAAGCTTCTCTAGAAGATATTACACAATTAACCTACTTTTACATACTTTTATCTATTCATATAGGTAATTATATGTATGTCCGTGACATTACCCCCCCTTCTAGGGACGAGTTCCACGAGGAGCGGTGATTATATATTGAAAAAATCTAATATGCAGCGAATTGTATTTGCTACATACTCTGATCTTTGTTCTCTTCGAAGATAGTTGATGGGTCCTCTTAGCCATCGATAGTGTCCCATTCCAAGGCGAGAAGACCACCCTGTTATTTGATCACTGTTGAGGCCTTCATAACTTCCTTCAAATAATACATTTGAAACACCATCAAGAGTCGTTCCTATCTCCAATAATATCACCAAACATCGAGAATCTCTTCCAAGCTCGTGATACTAAATGCGTTGTATCTCACCATCTATTCGAGGAAGAACATGTCGTTCTTGAGGATCATCATCTCGGTTGCGTCGTCTTGAAGGTTGTGACAATCGCAATGTCTCATCCGGTAAGTCAGCAAACGAAGGTTCTTGAGTTGAATCCGCTGGTTGTTGGCTCTCCATCTAATTAGCGTCACAAATGCAAAGAAGTTACAAACAAGGATAGGAAATTGAATGTTATCTTGCCTCAATCTTGTCTCTTTTATAAGAGAGGTTTTCATCTTGGTTTTGATGGATGTCGTTGATGAAAAACTTTGACTTTAGCTGATGCATTTGCTAGATTCCTGGATGGCTCCCATGTGCGCTCACTAATATCATATCCGCGCCAATGAACAAGATATTCCAGCTTATTTCGGCGCCGCCTTGAGTCTAATATCTCTTCCACCTCAAATTCTTCATTATTATCTACTTCTATAGGAGGCGGTGGCATTTGTCTTCTTCCTTGTATATCCACTGTCTTATATGGTTCAAGAAGAGACACGTGGAATACAGGATGGATCTTCATTGACTCCGGTAGATGTAACCGATATGCAACTGGGTTGATCTGTTCAGAAACAAAAAAGGGGCCAAGCCTACGAT